CTGCCAGAAGTATATCATCCAATTAGGTTCACACTGAGAAACCAGATCATAGGGGGTTGTTAGGTAGATTAGATGAAAGAGGCTTTCAAGCACAAGTCCTTCGAGACCTTTCTTTAAGTCTCTGTAGAGAATGTTACAATAAGCTAAATCTATAGTTCCTAAAAGAAAGATATGAATATTTCAACTTTCAAAATTACCAGAGGGGGAAAGAGGTGATTTTAAGTAGTTTTGTTTAGAAATTACCTGAATATAGCCAAAAGTCTTCAAAATCTCTTACTATGTAAATATTTCGAATGCCATTTTGATAGTATCCATCAATATTTAATAAGTACATACCTTTAGTCCCAACTATTCTATTTTTGGGAATCTAACTCAGAGAAACATTTCCATATGTACCCCCAAATACATACAGATGTCCCTGCAGTCTTGTTTATAATTGCGAAAAATTAGAACAATGTAAATGTCCCTCAATAGGGGAATGGTTAAATAATGGTACAACCATACTAAGGATGACTACGGTATTCAAAGAAAAATGAGATACATTTAAAGGGACTGATGTGTTAAGATGTTCGTGATATTTTATAAATGAGAAAAGCAAGTTGCAAAACAAAATTCACACCATGATTTCATAAAAAAACTATGTGTATATGAACATATATGTATATATGCACATACATACACACACACACATAAATCTTTGGATGAACATCGAACTGTTCACAGTGGTAGCCCCTGAGAGAGTAGAAATGGGACAGGAACATAGGACTTTTCTTAACATCATTTGAGTTCTCAGGTATTTTAAATAATAAATAAGTATTAATTTTCACTAACTAAGTTATGACGCAGCCATTAAGAATGAAAACTATTCACTGCCATGGAACAATCTCTAAGATGTAATATTAAGGGGAAAAAAGCAAGTTCAAGAACAATATAAATGATTATTTGTTTAAAAACAAAAACTTCAAACTGTATGTATGCATGTGTTATGCACTGACATGAAATATACAAAAAAGGTCTGGAAAGATATATACCAAAGTGTTATTTATTCTTGGTAGGATATTAACATTTGTACGGTTGCTACAGAAGAGTATGAAGGATTGATGCCCATCTTTTTCTCTATGTACTTCTGCAGTATTTTAATTACATGAAATACAAAGCATTTTCAACTTTCAAAAGTTGAAGTAGTTTATCAGCTCATAAAATAAGATTAATGTTATTAATATAAAATTACAAATCCAATTTAAAGAAAGAATAATTTAATTTCTATTTTGTCCCCAATGTATTTTCTCAGATTAATAATGAGATTTATGCAAACTCTTACCCTTAAAAGAAGCTCGTCCCAACTTCGTAATATGGAAATTACATTGGACCTCTTCTTCAGACGTATGAATGGTGTTTTTTTGTAGGAGTCCTTTATCTGTCAGGTATCTAAGTGATTCAACAGTTATTTCCCAGAGACTTTTTTCTTTCAACAAAATCTTTTGCTGAACACCAAAAAACGTACCATTCATAAATTGATAGATGTCACTGAGACTTGTTGCAATCTGAAACAATTCAGGACACCGTTGGAGCATATTCTTAATTCAAGGCATCACTCTGAATGCACAGAATCAAGATGAGGACTTGTTTCCATACCTCGAAGCTATTTCAATAAAGAATTAGTTCCAAATCTACACAGTTGCATACATTTTATAACAGCAATTTAAAATGAACAAGAAACATACTTGAAAAAATTAACAAGAAAACATTTAAGGGAGAAGATAGTTATTATATTCATGCTTTTTACAAAAACATGTACATATTTTTCATTCAAAAACTCCTTTGAATAGGTCTTCGAATAACTTCTCACAACATCTCCAAGGCTGTGCTCTATTTACTCCCCAATCAATTTTCTCTAATTTCCACTCAGCCTCCTTCAGGGCATCCTCCCTTCACCCCTTTCTACCCATCTCTGAAAGCATCTTTTAGCTCTAAAAATTGCATTTAAAAAAAACA